TGTTCTCTCCCACAGTATGTTGTTACTGATGGTGTCTGGCCAACGAATCCGAAGTATTTTGCGTAGACAGCTGTTAATAAACACTTGTATCTTCTGGATGATGGCTTTGGTAGTTCTCCAAGTTTATGCTCCATACAGAAGAACCGTAATGACATTCGTGTTGAAAATCCTGATTTTGATGTTGATTGATATTTGTTTGGAGTTCCAGATATTTTTCAATTGTAGAAATGCAGCCCTTGCTTTGCCGATCCTCGCCATCACATCTGCATCGGATCCACCCAGATTGTTGATGATGCTGCCAAGATAAGCAAAGGTCTTAACGTCCTCCAAGGCATCTCCATCAACAGTGATTTGGATGGTGCATGTTGTGTTGCATCGGAGAATTTTGCTTGTTCCCCTTATGTATGTTGAGACCTACTGCTGCAGAGGCTGCTGCTACAGTGGTCGTCTTCTCTTGCATTTGTCGTTGCGTGTGCGATAGAAGAGCTAGGTCATCTGCGAAGTACAGATCTTCCAGCTGCGTCCTAGCTGTCCATTGGATACCGTGCTTCCCTCCAGACGTCGATGTCTTTATAATCCAGTCGATCACCAGGAGAAAGAGAAAGGGTGAGAGTAAGCAACCTTGCCTGACAACGGTCTTCACCTCAAAGGAGTCTGTTAGCTGTCCTTCGTGTACGATTTTGCAGTTGAATCCATCATAAGAATTCCGTATGATGTTAACTATCTTCTCAGGCACACCGTAGTGTCGAAGAAGCCTCCACAGTGTTTTCCTGACCACGCTATCGAATGATTTCTCGTAGTCGATGAAGTTGATGTAGAGTGGTGAGTTCCATTCAATTGATTGTTCCACAATGATCCGTAATGTAGCAATTTGCTTACTCAATACAGACTGTTGATCTCGAAGTTGGGTGTCTACGAAGTCCTTCATTCTGTTTAACAATACCTTGTTGAAGACTTTGCCTGGCATCGAAAGAAGAGTGATGCCTCTGTAGTTCTCACACTTGCTGAGATCACCTTTCTTTGGTGTTTTGATCAATTATCCTTCTTTCCAATCTAATGGTACTTGTTCTTCATTCCAAATCTTCTTGAAGATGATGTGAAACATTTTCACAGTTGCTTCCTTATCTGCTTTCATTGCCTCCGCTGGGATGTTTTCTCGTCCTGCTGCTTTGCCGCTCTTGATTTGTCTGATGGCCATACTGATCTCTTGAGTTGTAGATGCGCCAACACCGATTGGGAGGTCCTTGGATGCTGCTTCGATGTTGGGTGTGTTCAGTGGAGCTGGTCGATTCAATAGTTCCTTAAAGTGCTCTACCGACCTGTTTCTCTGTTCTTCAGTCAGTGTTGCTGATTATTTTCCCTTCCTTGCGTTTCACTGATCGTTCTGGTTCACGATGGTTTCCAGCGAGCTTCTTTGTAGTATCATACAGTTGTCTCCTGTTTCCTTCTCTTGCAGCCTTTTCCGCCATCATTGCTAGATCCTCCACATATTTTCGTTTGTCGGCTCTGATGCTTTTCTTCACCTCCCTGTTTGCTTCTGTGTATTCAGCTTGTGCCGTGACTTTTTCTGCTCTTGTTCGGCTGACATTCATTCCTGCCTCTTGTTCCTCCTTTCTTCAACTTTTTCAAAAGTACCAACCGACATCCATTCCCTGTGATGGTGCTTCTTGCGACCAAGGACCTCCTGGCATGTTGAAGTGATTGCCTCTTTGATCACTTCCCAATTGTTCTCCAATGTTGCTTCCTCTCCATTGAGTAGATCCTGTAAGGAATGGAACTTATTGCTGAGGGCTATCTTGAATTCGTTGAGTTTTAAGGTATCCCGAAGAAAGGCCGTATTAAACTTCTGTGGTGTTGTCTACCCCGTTATCCAGTGCTTCTTTAGTTTCAGTTTCATTTTGGTGACTGGCAAGTGGTGATCTGAGGTTATATCGGCTCCTCTTTTGGTTCTCACACCCTCCATAGTCCTTCTGAACTTTTTATTGATACACATATGGTCGATTTGATTCTGAGTAGTGTGGTCTGGTAAAATCCATGTAGCTTTGTGTGTGCGCTTGTGCGGGAATATTGTGCCACCGATGACCAGTTTGTTGAAGGCACATACGTTTGCAAATCTCTCACCGTTTTCGTTCCTTTCTCCCAGTCCATGTCGTCCCATGATGTCTTCATATCCAGTGTTGTCCATGCCAACCTTGGCATTCAGGTCTCCCATAAGAATCGTCAAATCCTTTGGTGAACATTTCTCGACGATTGACTGCAGCTTTTAGTAGAATTGATCTTTAACCTCATCATTGTAGTCATTGGTAGGTGCATAGCATTGGATGACATTCATTGTAATGTCGTCTTTCTTTGTTTTGAAGGATGCTTTGATAATCCTGGGTCCATGAGATTCCCATCTTATCAGTGCGTTTTGTGCATGTTTGGACAGTATCAGTGCAACTCTTTGTGTATGTGAAGCATTTTCATCTTCATGACCAGAGTACAACAGCAGTTCCCCTGAAGCTAGTCTCAGTTGTCCTACCCGTATCCAATTCGTTTCACTGATACCGAGCACCTCGAGGATGTATCTTTTCATTTCTGCCGCAATTTGAAATATTCTTCCAGTCTGCCACAGTGTACGGACTTCCCATGTGCCCAAAAGAATGGTTGCTCTGGTTGTCAGAAGAGGTATCGGCCTCGTCTACCAGTCTACCGAATTCTGCAGACAAAGACCGACCAAACGAGCAACAGAGGCAGCCGTGTCTCATGAGAGTTAACGAACGAATTCACCGGTGGTTGTAAACTCAGTAGTATTTATTTACAATACGGAGCAGTGGGTGAGTGAGTGACAGGGGAACGGTTACACCGTAGCCAACAAAGCGCTTCAAACCTGGGACAGGGAAGTCAGATGCAATTCAATAATTTTAATTAACATCCCAGTATCGCAGAAGGCTGCCTTTGATAAAGAACCGAAATGAGTGGTACACCGGTTATGCAGTACCGTCTAATTTAAGGTAGGATTTTAGCTAGAGGAATACTCATTGTTTAGTTGGAGTCAGAAAAGCACAGCCCCCATCAGAACGAGCAGCTTCTAGGACAGCAATGGACACCCATGAACAAGCTATCATGGTGGCCAGTTAAGTGCCTCAGTTGGTTGGTGATATCTTGAATGAAGCTCCAGCGCATGATATGCAACAATGACGCAAAAAGACAGGAAATCCCGATTTCTTTATTGTTCATTTCGCCCACCAGTTTAACCAAGTATCTAAAAGATCAAACCAAGTTTCAGCCGTTAGCCTAGGTATTATCTGACTTGTAATTTGCTTGGTACTGAGAAAACTAAGATCCCTACACACAGAGAAGTCATCAAAATGTGATAATATTCGCCATTATAGTTTTGAAATAGTATGCAGAAGCCCTCAGTTCACCGATATATGACTTGTTCAGGCATTTACTCGAGTCATACCAACTATCAGCTGAACAGAAGCAAGCAACTCTCTCTCCAGTCTTCAAACGAGGAGATATGAAGGACCCATCCTTGTAAGACCAAACGCATTACTATTAAAGGTAAAGGAAGGGCTGGTGCAGTCAATGGGTACGAACGAAACCCTCTATGAGGCTCAACATGGGTTCCCGAAAAGTGGATCGTGAGTATCCCATCTTCACATATCAAGGGACAGTTGGTCCACCCGCTGGAACCGGAAAATACCAGTGCACATAATATTTCTTGACTATGCAGAAGCCTTTGAAACAGTAACCACACACTTCTTACGACAATAATTGCGAAAATTAGCATCAATGAACCACTCCTGTTTTGGCTCAGCAAGTACTTTGGGAAAAGAAAGTTTCGCATCAAGGTAAATAGAGTACACGCAAACAGGCAAGTCTCAACTTCGGGAGTTTCACAGAGGACCGTGTTATACCATTTTCTCTCCATGTCATTCATCAGTTATCTTTTAGACAAAATGGGCTCAGTAGTATTGGTCTACGCAGACGATGGAAATATCTGGAGGTCCATAGGAAGCTAAAATGATTGAACTGAGCTTCAAAAGGACCGCGATCCATTGAGGACTGGCAAGTGAAAAACGGTTTAAAACCAAACCAGTCAAAACCCTTGTCCTGTGTAATACAAACAACTCAAGTCCTCAATGGAACTCCGCTCTCTGATGTCTACTTAGAGCGCGACCTCGGTCTAATAACCACAGAAAGCATAAACACCAGTTCAAACTAGCGCAATTCTCATCTTTATGTGAAAACAACTTGGTGCAGTCGCCCAGGAATCTTTCTTAACCGTCTTTAAAACACATGCAGGTACACAACTTGAAATTCACGATGTCATCACAACCCCTCTCCCTTTGAAGAGACATAAATCTCCCGATCGAGTTCACAGACGAGCAACAAAATGGCTGGCAGATTCAATTAAACCTTACAAAGATAGACTCCAACACTTGGGATTATTCCCAATGAATTAAAGAGGTATCAGAGATAATGTGATGATGGCATACAACATATTGAGTACGAAGAATCGTGCCAACACAAGAATCATCTCGAAACACCACTACCACGTCCCTCGAGGTAACGCTCAAAAAATTGCACGTCAAAGAGCAAATACTCAGGTTCGTGCCCAATTAGGATTTTTGTTTGCCGTGAATGGATTCAAGACGGAGCCTTAACAAGCACTTACAAACGGATTATCATCTCCTTGAACCACAGTGCATGATGCATGTCTTAGGATTTACTTGCTATATGTTATCGCTATCATTTCAAAAGATAAATAACTCGCTCTACCTTGCTGATAATCTCTAGCTCCTCTTCTTGGTTTACGCTTCTGTCCTCTCACACAATCTTCGCTATCGATTAATCAACTCATCTGTTTATTTACATGGTTCTGAGATTTTACTCTTCTTGCTAGCATTCGACTTTATTCTTTGTTGTTGTCCACATTGCAGTTAACCGATCTCCTACCTGTTAATGTAATAGCTACTGGTATCTAGAATCCCTAATTTTCTGAGACAAACGAACACACGAAAAACGCGGGATATACAAATCCATAAATAACCGCTAACTGAATGGGAACGGTGTAGTCGATTGACTAGACTACCATCGATTAAACTTGACCACATACTTGGAACCGTACGGGAACAACAGAAATTGAGAACAAACTGGTTTATACTAGAACATAAAAAGGTATTGGGTATTGGACATCGACAACCCGCTATTAATTCATTTGATCAAGGTCTTGCCAGCAAAATAGATTATATAAGTATTACAACGCATTAGGCTTGAGAACTGCTACGTTTCGTGATTCACCCTAAGCATCATCTCGTATAATTTTTTTGGTTTTATGATAGCACACAATCTCCCAACTTTGGTGTGAATTTGGTAGATTTTGGGTAATCTTTAATCGAGTTTTGACAGTAAACTTTGGGGAAATGAAGCCACAAACCTAAAAGTTGTAACTGAAGTCCTCCAAGTTTCCGAAAATCACGGTGGAAACCCTGGTTTTACCGGGATTACCCTACGTTAGATAGTGGGGAGGCTATAAACTATCTATATTTGGTTGCTCGGACCTGTTATTTGTAAGAATGGGATAATTCTTAGGTTCTTTAAAAATGCAGTATCCTAATTGACAAGAAACAACATAAAACAAGTACTTGTGTGACTGAAAATCGTTAAAAGTAACCGGAGTTATAGTACTTACAAATAATGCTGCAAAGCACTACTCTAGCCATTTATCTAAACTTAAATCATATTATGCACACCTTCCGAGTGACCAAGTAGCATTTATGTGGGTAACTGTACTTGTAATGATATTGAGCATCAAGTTACTAATTGAGGTCAAGTCCTGGCCCCCTGTGCTTACTCGTTTTTTTCCGACCATTTTCTCTGTTTACAGGTTTTGTTGGATTTATGGAGTTATTGTACCATGAGGATATTCCTATCGATCTGATCACGGAACAACTTACTGGTTGCACTTGTGAAAATATTTGCTGCCTAGGAGATGATTGTGCTTGCTTATCGAAATGTAGAACGTCATACGATATGAATGGGTTACTGGTTGACTTTGTGAATCCAGTTTTCGAATGCAATAGTGAATGCCTTTGTAGCCAGTTGTGCACTAACCGAGTCGTCCAAAGATATCTAAATGATGCTGAAGATACATATGAATCTGAATACCATGCAAAAACCTGCGTGACCAATTATCCAGTTATGGGTAGAGGCTTATCAGCTGCTTGTGATATCCAACGTGGGGAACTCGTTTGTGTCTATTTGGGTGAAGTGATCCCATACAAAGAGGCTTGCCTGCGGGAAGCTCGTCAGCGTTCTTGCCATGGTCGTAATTTCATTTTGATAATGCGTGAGTATAGTGACGATTCCCTTGTATCAGAGACGTGTGTTGATGGGGATTCTGAATCGTGGGGTTCAATAAAGTCGAAAGCACGCCTAATTAACCATTCTTGCACACCTAACCTAACAGTAATTCCTGTTCGAGTTGATAGTTTCATTCCTTATTTAGCACTATTTGCTAACAAAATTATCTTAGAGGGTACACAACTGTCATATGATTATGCTCAATCTGTGCCTAGTGAAAAAATACAATTATCTAACACCCTTTGCTTATGCAACTCGGACTCATGTCGCATATACATGCCTGGAGTATAAATACATCTAATTTAGAAGAAATTCGAGTGTCTTGAGTTACATTCAAAGTAAGCCATTATCAAGAATGTTTTGTTGTTCATTGGTAAATTGTGTTAGCAGGTTGGGGTTTGTTCATGGATTCACTGTCTTCCGGGTACCTTTTCCTAAATTTTTGTATGGCCATGAGTGCTTATTTCTAATTTGGTAATGTGTCTATGATCAACCGGATACCATAGTTACCAACTTAATGTATGCACAGTTCTTATCAATATAAGTAACTTACCAACTTCGAGGATTTTTATTTGGCTTACAGCCACTTTTGATTTGAGGATTAATGGTACTAATGAGCCATTCAAGCCAAAGTAGAGCGGCATTAAAACTCGAAAACTGCTGATCTAAAGCCGAAATCCTTGACTATTGGGTTACAATTATTAGTCCATTTATTTCATCATAAGACTCAGATAAAATATCGTGATGTCTCCAGCAATATTCGCCAAGCGATCTGTAGACAACGCCGATAAGTTTGAAGGTAAGAGAACTAAGTCGAATTCGGTAGATTGCTGTAGAACAGTTATGGCGATTTGCGTCCCGAAGATGCATGGGATCTTGTCGAAGGTCAGCTACTGACGATAACTATTAATGCTAAGGAAGCCATAATTTAATCTATTGTCACCAACTGTTTAGGCTTTACATACTGAAACCGTATGATTACTACTATCATTATTAAAGTGAGAATAGTTCATCGCAGTAATTCACCAAACACTGGGTAGGAATGTAATTAATCTACTGCCGCGCTCCAGTTGTAGATGTTTTGAACATATTTTAAGTAATCCATTATAGTGCCTGTTGTTTAACGAACTTGATCACTGCTCAATCAAAATTAACTTTATCTCACACTAGCATTTGTTTGTATTTGAATTGAATCCACAAGTGTTAATGTACGTTTATCGCTTGTTAAGACTCATTTCAACAAAGTACTTTACCGCCTTCGGATACGATAAAGTCTGTTTTTGATATGAACTGCCATTTATATAAATCTTTATCAGTGAATTCATTTCAAGGCTACTCGTCAGATACAAGTGGTATTGTAGTGTCATATTTGTAATCTTGATCTTCCAGCCTCAAATTTAACGAAGGATCAAGATAGATGAAATGTCAATTAGTTGAACAACTCAATTGAATATTAATTAGTTGAACCTGACTAATTGTTACCTTGACATGGTACTCGAACGTGTCTTTCGTGATAAGCCATTTGAACTATATTGTTTGAAACCCTTGTCCCTTTAACTCATAACATAACAAGCAGGTCAGCTTACGAACAGTAACACTCAGCAGAAAATAGAGTTCCGACGGTAAAGTTTTACTGTTGTCTTTACTATAATTTGATAACAGCAAGGCATTCCTATCAAATAGTCGGCGGTGCCTTCTCACAACGGAAGGTATGAGAGATCAATCATAAACTTTGTACGCCTCATCTTAACCATAGCTTTCAGTTGCCGATGCTAAGGCCCTAAGGTTACGAGACGAGCTCTTCAAAAACCATGAAATGCCATATGTGGTTGGTCTCAAGAAGCTATCTCTTGGGCGCTGCGGTCATGCTACCATTTCATCATGACTGCATTTAACCCTGTTTATTTTTCAGGTCTCTCAAGAGCAAGTTTCCTTTCGCGGTGTTTGCAACCGCTCACTTAGCAATAGCACAACATAAACCAATGTAACCAATCCTAATTTTAAACTCATAATATCGTATCAACTACATTGTTATACAAAATCGCGGGATATTTCTTATGTAAGCCTACCTGTTACATGTATTTTTGTTGTTAGGACAGGATAAAACTCAGATTCGTACTTTAATTGAGTTTGATAATTATGTGATATTTGTTCGGAATAACAGATTCTTAATACTCATTATTATTTTTGTTATTCTTTCAGTACAATATTCAGCATTCTCTTGTACCAAGGTACTACATGTTGGAGCATTTAATGTAACGGACATTGTGTCAAATAGGACAACAGGCTTCATTAGATAGAACTTTAGAACCTCGTGCCATCGATGTGTGCTGCGTCTCGGAAACGTGCATACAGGATCCTAGTAAAGTCATTAGTCTGATTTCGCCTTGTCAAAACAAAAAAGCAACTCGATTTACTCTTCGTGTATCCGGTAGCCCTGGTGCTGCTTCACGGGGTCTCGCTGGTGTAGGTATAGCATCGAGTCATAGAACAGAACTAGCTCTCCTAGACTGGATCCCAGTATATAGTCACTTGTGCGCCGTCCGACTAAACGGGACAGTAAAGATTCGGAAAGATAGGGACACTCGTCGTCGACTCTTCGTCATATCAGCTTACGCTCCCACTGACTGCAGTTTAGACAAGGTAGACGATGAGTTCTACAGAAAGTTTTTCGGACCTCCTCGAAAAAGCTAAGCGCTCTGATGTAGTAATAATGGGTGGTGACTTTGATGATCAAGTAGGTAGACTAAGTGAAAATGAAAGACACCTAGGTGGCTTTATGGTGTGGCGGCTCAGAGAACAGATAATGGCGACCGTCTGTTGCAAATATGCCCAGATAACCGCCTGTTTCTAGAAAACACTAACTTTCGGCATAAGGAAAAACATCTTTTGACCTGGCGACCCCCAAAGTCGTCTCAACGTTGGGCCTAACTAGATCACATTGCCATCAGCCACCTATGGAGAGGTCGACAGGGGACTGTCGCTCGTTCTGGGGCACATGTTTAGATTCACGTCATGCTCTAGTGCGAGTGCGTATTTGTTTGCGCCTTACTGGACGCCAGAAAAATATTGCAGGAAAACCTCTTAGGGCTCTACTTAATGATAATCAAGCTAAAATATTTCAGGAACAAATAAAAAAACAGTTAGGCGACCATGTAAATAATTCCCATCAGGAGGCAGGTTGGTATGATATCAAAAAGGCTGTGCAAACGGCAGTGATATCTGCTAGCGACGTAAACCGTAAGTCTAGGAAGAAGCCGTGGGTCTCAGTAGCATCTACCGGACTGATAGACGCTCGTAAACTCATCCCTCCTGGCTCCGAAGATGAGTTCACGAAATGTTATTCCAGGTCTCCTGAAGCCCTGTTCTTAATTACGTGTGGGAGCATTAAATATCCGGATATTGTGTCGAATAGGGCAATAAACCTCCTTTGCTAGGACTTTAGAATCTTGCGCCATCGATGTTTGCTGCGTCTCGTAAACGCTCATACTATCTTGGTAAAAGCATTAATTTGATTTCATCAAAAAAGCTGTGGAAACAACAGTGATATCTACTAGCAAGGTAAACCATAAGTCTAGGAAGAAGCCGTGGATTTCAGTAGCATCTACCGAACTGATGGATGCTCGAAAGCTCATCCCGCCTGGCGCTGAGAACGATGAGGAGCGAAGTCAGCGTATGTCATGATCGTGGACAGGAGGGGGTAGCGAAAGCAGGAGCGATGGAAAAGGCAGCGGCTATAGGCAACACCAGACAACGTTTCCGCCTTATCAAAGAAACCGGTATTAGGAACCCGGATGTGAGTGAGACTATCTCAGAAAAGGATGGTTGTATCATTCATTCTCAACCCAGGAGATTGGATTGATGGGCAGAACACTTCAGGGACCAGTTCAACTGGCCTTCAGCCACACTTCAGTTGCCCACGATCTCCAGTCATCCTGAAAGGGAAACCGACATATATTCTCTTAGTCTTTGTGAAGTTGAGAAAGTTGTAGGAAATCCGAAGTGAGGTAGAGCAGCAGTTCTTGATAGGCTAACTCCTGAGATTTTTAAGGATAGTGGTCCAGTTTTGGCATCTGAATTGACTGAGATCTTAAGCAGAATCTGGGAACTGGACGTAATCCCATCCGAGTGGTCTCAATCTCTGATTGTCCCAACTTATAAGAAAGGACAAAAGCTCTCTTGTGACAATCACAGGGAAATCAGTCTAATTAATGTAGTTTTTAAATTGTTAGCCTCGATTATACTCAGACGCCTAACTATAGCTCGTGAAGAGCAGACTAAAGAAAAGCAAGCTGGTTTCACACCTGCACGTGGCTTCATAGACCACATTTTCACTCTGCGACAGGTCCTGGAACACAGGCTCAAATTTAGACGTCCGTTTTGCTAACCAAAGGATGAGTGTACTGTGCAGCAGTTCGCTCCGTTCTCCTTTATGGATGCGGGACATGGCCCGTAAGAGTAGAAGATGTTCTTAGGTTGCTAGTATTCGATCATAGGTGTCTTAGGAGCATTGCTCGTATATCGTGGGACAACCGAGTAAGCAATGCTGTCGTTAGGAAACAAGTACTAGGTAAGGATGGCAGATCAATAGATGAAGTGGTCAAATCATTTGAGGTGGTTGGGACCACCGACTACCTCGACGAGCTGTGTTTTGTGGTGTAGGAGTAGGTTGGAAGAAAGCTAGGGGCGGCCAGACCAAAACATGGCACAAATCCATGAAGTCATTGACAAGTGGACTGAGTCATGTCCGCAGCTTCAGGTTGGGGTCTGCTAGACGAAAGTCACCAATAGTTAGAGACCTTGAACGACATAGCTCAAAATCGTTTGCAATGGCGCACGTGCATCCACTCTGTGCTCTCTCAAATTCTAATCTTCTGGATTCGTCAGCACCTTTACCTTTGTCTTTCTAACCTTATCTCACTGAATTATACTTCTTAAATAATATCTTCGAACCCTAGTCTTCTTCATTACCATTAATACCTCTACTATCTTTATCACTATGGGATTCGATTTGACATATGCGTCTCTGTGCTAATGTGGTATGACAACCTGAACTAATGTACATACGTACGAAGTTCTACGTTGTAACTGACTGACTGACTGAGTTGCTTTGAAACGTGAGATAGATTTTTGTTTGTATCCATAAAACAATGTCCGATTATTTCGGATTCTTTTGGTAACGAAACAGTTGTAATTAACTTAAAATTCAAAATCAAAGTATAGAATACAAGTTGTTGGCAAGAACAACAACAACTGCTGGATGTAGACTATGAAATGAATTCTTAGCGATACAGTTCAGTATAGAAAAAATTAGTCAAAGATTGCAGGAAAGCATTACCTAGTGTTTGTTGAGTAGAAGAAAATGAATTATCTCATTCAAACAATGAGTTATTGAATATTTTCTATTTTCGTTTATATAATCTGTAGATGGTATAGTTCTGAGTCGATTTTTCCTGAAAAAAATCAAATATTGTTCTCATCAAGAAAAGGTGTAGAATTTTGTGAATATTTAAACTGTGTGATTTGTTTGCCAAAGGGGAGTAACGTATAAATTGTGCTTTAATTTGTTGTATCTCTTTTTTACGTTCGTTGAACCTGTTCTCCTCGAACTTTCATTGTTGAGTGGCTTTCCTCCAACCATCGTCCCAATGAGAAAGCTGAAAACCGTTAGTGTTACCCCATGTCAATAATATTGTGTTTCGGGCATAAAAGAGTTGAAAAATTTTAGAGTTTGACCATCTTTGGTGATTTAGTTACATTCAACATATTTTTGACATTGGGATTGTTTGAAAAAAGCTAATGGGTGTTAAGTTTGTCGCTTTTCATTGTAAGATAAAGGATAATTGGATTCTTTACAGCTGGATAGATGAGATCCTACTAGGTATGGCTTAGAATAAACAGCTAATAGCTAACCTATTGTGGCTTTCTCTAATATTCTTCATAAAAAGTAGAATAACGCACTCAAACTGTATAGCTCAATAGTATTATTCTTACTATTATAAGCATAAATATTGATACATAGAGGTACCTAAATATCTATACACCACACAAATCACTGCGTCTGTGTGTCGGCTCGGGTGGCGCCCGAGTTCCTAAGCCAAATAAGATGGCTCCCCTAGTAAGTCAATCCCCAAACCCTTGACTTAGATGTCTAACCCACAAAACAGTTGAGCAACATTAGGAGGTGCAATCCTATAGTAGCCGGTGAGCAGCAGTAGGTTCATAAACCATTTGTTCCATCAGGATCCTGAAGCCCATATGCACCGTTGATTTAAAGTCAGAGATTTCCAACCCTCATTTAACTGGATTCTACGTATCCAACCGAGTCTAGGTGCCGGGCACTCGCTGCCCAATTTTGTGGACAACTCTCCAGCCACGAGGAGGCAGTGAGTAGGACCTCCCAGAAAGTGGTTATATACACGTGACCACATGAGAGAATTCCGATAGGGAGGGCGGACTGTCCCCACTCTCAGTAGTGCTGTTATGTATTCCTAGTCATCGACTGACTCGGCCAGCGACGACGCATATTGTAGGGTAGACTGAAAGGAAGCTAGGAGCGGACAGACCGAAGCATGGCACAGATCCACGAAGTCACTGACAAGTTGAGCGAGCCATGTTCGTAGGTGTAGACTACCTGGTTGGAGTTTGCAAGACAATAGTGACCGGTGTTTAGCAACTTTGAATGTCATGTCTCAAAATCGTTCGTAATGACTCAGATGCATCCATAATTTGTCATTTCTCAAATTCTAGACTTGTCCATTCCTCATGACCTTTATCTCTCTTTTTAAATTTATTTCACAGGATTATACTTCTTGAATAGTTTCTTCGAACCCTAATCTTTTCCATTACCGCTTATACGTCTTCTTCATGGGTTTTGAATTTAAAATTGCATCTCTTTACAGAGGCTGAATGGCAGTCTAAACTGATGTACGAACTGACGTTTTTCCACTTTTCCTTTAGGTGGGTTCCTTATTTTAATAATCTGATTGTTTGTAGGTTGATCGTGATGCTGAATTTTGAATATAATTAGCTTTTAAAAATGAGATCGCACAAAACACTGTTGTGCAAATTTAATGAATGTGTAATCGGTAGGCCTTTGATCACTAATACTGAAAAATTATCGACTATCCTATCAAATGTATATAATTAATCAGTGACTCCATAGACTGACTTGTCCAAGGCAATCGTGGTATATAGTTCCTCTGTTTTTTCTACTAAGTGAAGTTTCTGTACTTAATTTTTTTTAAATTGAAGATTCAATAAGGAGAAATATTATATGTTAATTTGGACATGAAATTCTATGTGAAGGTCTTCAATCCCACTGTCGTCACAAAATTTCGGAACGCTTATCATGATTTGATTAAATTCATTTTGATATTGTTCAACACTTTGGAGATTTGTGCTATAAATGGGGCTTTGCATTCGCAAAACGCATTACAATCTCTTTTCAGTACGAGATGCTCTGTTATTATTTTTACCGTATGTGTTTAAATCATATTCTGAGGTCATTTTAACATGCAAATCTATATCTAGTTACTGAGTTCTGCCATTTTTATTGCAAACTTTTAGCCTCCATCCTAGCTGAGTTTCTGTATCGAACTGTTAGACATAGTACATTTAAGTATTATATACTATTTCTACTCAATCTATGCAACGGAGCTCTAAGATGACCTTAGTAATTTTGATTGCTTTTGTGATTCGTATAGTTGAAACGTAGCGTTTGTCTACATCAATCGTTGATATAAAAGAGTCCGTGATATTTAATTAAAAACGAAATCATTCCCAAGGTAGTAGTATTATTTGCCACAAACTACAGCCGTTTTCGTTATTCAGTAGTTCTTAAGTATATCAAGTTTTCTACCATATTACCTTGATAGTCCAAATGGAGCACAAATATCCTGCCTGTAGGTTCAGCCAAGATGACTTAGAAGTGTTTGATGTAACAAACTTTATCGCCCCGTTTCTCATTAACTTAACACTTAAACACACCTGTTTGTTGCTGATTGGTATTTTTCTTTTATGGATGCTGTTGATCTACTTGCAAGTTCAAATACTATATGTAGTATATTTTTACTGTTTTAAAATGGGGTAGATTTTGAAATTCATTCTATCTGTTTAACCTGACCGGTTTGATATTATTCACATGTTCTAGTTATTTTGAATGGCCAAATCAAAGTGATACAAATATCAAGTGGGTTTTTTAAATTTGAAATCATTCATTAGTTCAGAGAGCTGACTTACTGACTGTGAAATTAGTTTAGCAAATTCCTCTATTCGTAAGTGGGCTTTTTTAACGTGTGCGTAGCAAATGTTATGCAAAGTGAACTTTAAGTAATGTAATGCCTTGCACGCCCCTACAATAAAACGTAATGTAACTCACCACAAAGATTGGAATATTAATGTTTAAAAGCCACTTTCATCCACTCAGGAATCCATCATTTGAAAATCCAGCTCGTGTCAGAGCTTCTGGTATCTGGTTAACTTTTGGAGGTATGTTAGGACGTTTTTTAATTTTAGGATCATTCACGTAACCACCATTCAGTCGATAATATGAAAATAAGATGAATGTATCGATACCGTAAAACACGAAGCTAACTGCAAATAAAATCTATGGGGTTGAAAAAGATATTGACAATGAATCGATTTATTAGATGAACAGCGAATGTACCAATTCATAAACTTGCAAATCAGTAGCCACTTTTAATATAAATGCTTTAAAGTAGTCAGCTGACTCAGCAGGTGATGAAAATCGATTTCGAAGTGTAGGGAATTTACGTTGAGTAAATATAGATTTACCATGAAATCGTAGTCTATATTGTCAGACAAGTGTACCGAATAAAACAATTACCCACCGTTGACAGTATGTGGGGATCTTGATCCAGTCCACCTTGATAGCAACTGAGATATATATACCACTGAATTCCATCTCAGCGGTTTAAACTTCTACGGAGAAATGTGAAAGTAATCAACTTGTAGAGTGTACTACTATGAAATCTTGAGATAAGACTGGACATTTGTTCGTTATTCGTATGGTGTCACATGTATGCTCTGAAGACCTTTAAGAGTGTATATTATTTCAAGCTTAATGCTGTCAAGAACTTTGAATAGTATACAGAAATGATGCGCGGGAAAAAATGCTGAATTATACACTGTAAACGACAACAAAAAAAACGTTTGAGTGACTTATAAAGGGTGTGTGCAAAATGAATAGGCTAACATTAGATTATAAAGTACAAAAATCAAAATGTTCTTGTCACTATAATTTGAGAGGGCTTAAATGATATCAGAAGTAATCACTAGGAGTAAGTGAAGGGGGTTTATTTTTGAACACAAAATCAGTGGAATGAACAATAGGTAAGGGTTGTCATTAACCTAAATGAAAAACATAATTCATTTATGCATATAAGTTAAGGCTTCAATATTATTTTAAGTAGTTAAGTGCAAATGAATTTTGTAAGATTTGGCCCGTTTCTGTGAACAAACTTTAGATATAAGTTTGTTGAATGTGTAAAGTTGATTATTTGTCAAGGTTTGAACTCCCAAACATTCATATCGCTTTTGCAGAACCGTGCTAAAATAGGTTCTTGTATCCATTTTGAAAGCTAACGCTAATTACATTCTCTATACCTCGCTCCACGGGAGTATATCTTAGTATATGCAAGCTTCAATTCCCGACAGTTCATTAATTTCTGAATTCCAGAAAATATATTTTACTGTTGAGTGTTATTTGAAACCATGAATCGATCAATGTTAGAACACCATTAGAAACCTGGAAGCACTGGACGGCCGTTTCGTCCTGGTATGGGACTCCTCAGCAGTGCGCATCCATGACTCCTGCACCCCACGGGATTCGAACCCAGGACCTTCGGTATTGTAGGCGAACGCCTAACCATCGGACCATTGAGCCGGTATCTAACGGTGTTAATGTCTAACTTGATGACTTCACGGAGTTGCGCAACCTCATACACAGTCTTCGGTAGTTACTGTCTACACCCGAACAGGTTGAACTTCACTGGTCACGTCCTCCCACTAGAACTCGGAGATCCCCCACGAAGCTAGTCACTAGTGATTACAGGTAATTTGCATTACGGGGTTGTTGTGAAGATTGTTAAGTTTTATTTAAAACCATGAATCGATAAATGTTCATGGTTTCAAATAAAACTTAACAATCTTCACAACAACGCCGTAATGTTGAGTGTTAATAAAAACGAAACAGAGATGGATCATTGACCACCTAAACCCAACCATTTAGAAAAATTTCGTTGTGTTAATTTCAAAAACCAAAACATTTTTGACAATAATCACATATTCCAATCGATAACCTGCATTGGTGACAGGATTTGTGGGCTTTTTTTCTTTATTCACGAAACACTTATTTGCTTACGAAAGGACAGTCATAATTATTATTTTGGCTGCATCAATGACATCGTCATTGTAAACTCCTATTTCTAAGTAGTCATCTTTCACATGATAATATGTTATTATTTCATCAGATATGTGGAAATGTATAATCGCGTACATCAGCTAATTTCTTAAAACTTTTATCGATGATTTCATACAAATAACCTAATGTTATGCTCAAAGAAGCTAAGTCAGTTTATAAAGGCCTATTAATGTTTTCGATAAACAGACATTTTTCAAGGTAAAAAACATTATAATAACAATCCTATCCTTTTAGTGTAGTAATCTCGTTTCTGTAGTCCCTAGTGCTAATCTGATTTTTTAGATCAGTTTGAAATGCGGTAACTGGTGTCTGACTAACCCGGAATCGCGTGCACTAAGGTTTCGTGCTGGTTGGAACTCATCAGCAAAGCGTGCATGTATTTTGAAAGTAACTGACGTTTCTTGTTCGATTCGAACCAGCTTCGTAGTTTTGGACGTTAACACAGCTATTCAAGTCATTTAGACTAATTGCCACATTGCAACTTGATCGACAGAATTCAATCGGCACCAAGTGACTAAGTAGATTAGCATTAATTCATAAGTCCCTATAAAATATTAAGAAGACAAAGAAAATTTGGGCTAACAATTGTTTTAAGTAACATCGTCATCAGGCTCTACAGTTATAAGTCCATTATTATTGTATTATTTACAAAGGCCAAATAAGGCATGCAATAATGAATTAGACAATGTTGTATGTTGAAAAGTGGTGAAATTTTACAACTATTAGAATATAAATATTTCAAGATTGTTATTTGTAAATTAGAAAGGTCATTTAATAATTTTTTTAACATACAACATTGTCTAATTCATTCCTTCTTTTGGCCTTTGTAAAATAACACAATAATAATTATAGAGTCTGATGATGAAGTTATTGAAAACGGTTGTTCTTTCAGATATGACATTGGCCACGAATCAGTGATCATTCAGTTGTAAAATATTTTAGTCCTATGGGAGGTATGCATTTCTCTAAGTAGCTCACTTTAAACAAGATAACAAGTACTCCTTGATGGTGACTGCTAACTCTCGTGAAATCAAGATCTACAGTTTCTTGTTCGACTACGTTTGACCACACAACATATAGACTTATTGTCTAGAAAAACTCTAGTGGCTAATTTCCTTTCTAAGATAATTTTAATAGTATCTTATAACTATATGAAGTTCCTGACCGTAGCTGGTCGGGCTTGCGTATCGTAATAAACCGACAGAGCTATATTGGCCGGAACATATGTTACCGTGGGTTCTGCCATGCCAGGCAGGTCGACTGGAGAACGATGAGAATAGAAGCAGCTACTCAAGGTCTGAGGGCGAAGTTGTACCGCTGACTGTAGAGGGGTGTGACAGCAGTAAGGTGTTTCCTTCGGCCAACCAGCATCTACAGCAATGCTGCCTTCTCAAAAGGAGAGAATGGGGTTAGAAAAGGTCGACCCCGAAAATGTCACACTTCACCTTACCTAATGGATCTCCGTCTCTGACAGTAGGGCCTTTTAAACAAGAATAAAACTGATACTCTAAAAACCTGTCATAGAAAGGCCGTGCGTGACTAGCCTCAAGCAGTTGTCCCTTGGGCTCAGAGTTCACGCTCTCTCCGAGATCAACACTGATTTACCTTTCCTTTCAGGTCCGTCAAAAAACACGCTTCCACAGTGTGGGTAGCCAGGAAGTGACAACCGCCCTCATACCCGTAACAGCACACGAGACCAAATTGGTCAAAATCAAATCCTTCCTACACCCCCTAATACCTCTCTTATCTCTACGACTGACTCTTCTCACATTCCTTTCTCACCCCGTACCGTTAATGCAAACGATGTGAGTTCACGAAATGTTATTCCAGGTCTCCTGAAGCCCTGTTCTTAATTACGTGTGGGAGCATTAAATATCCGGATATTGTGTCGAATAGGGCAATAAACCTCCTTTGCTAGGACTTTAGAATCTTGCGCCATCGATGTTTGCTGCGTCTCGTAAACGCTCATACTATCTTGGTAAAAGCATTAATTTGATTTCATCAAAAAAGCTGTGGAAACAACAGTGATATCTGCTAGCAAGGTAAACCATAAGTCTAGGAAGAAGCCGTGGATTTCAGTAGCATCTACCGAACTGATGGATGCTCGAAAGCTCATCCCGCCTGGCGCTGAGAACGATGAGGAGCGAAGTCGGCGTATGTCATGATCGTGAACAGGAGGGGGTAGCGAAAGCAGGAGCGATGGAAAAGGCAGCGGCTATAGGCAACACCAGACAACGTTTCCGCCTTATCAAAGAAACCGGCATTAGGAACCCGGATGTGAGTGAGACTATCTCAGAAAAGGATGGTTGTATCATTCATTCTCAACCCAGGAGATTGGATTGATGGGCAGAACACTTCAGGGACCAGTTCAACTGGCCTTCAGCCACACTTCAGTTGCCCACGATCTCCAGTCATCCTGAAAGGGAAACCGACATATATTCTCTTAGTCTTTGTGAAGTTGAGAAAGTTGTAGGAAATCCGAAGTGAGGTAGAGCAGCAGTTCCTGATAGGCTAACTCCTGAGATTTTTAAGGATAGTGGTCCAGTTTTGGCATCTGAATTGACTGAGATCTTAAGCAGAATCTGGGAACTGGACGTAATCCCATCCGAGTGGTCTCAATCTCTGATTGTCCCAACTTATAAGAAAGGACAAAAGCTCTCTTGTGACAATCACAGGGAAATCAGTCTAATTAATGTAGTTTTTAAATTGTTAGCCTCGATTATACTCAGACGCCTAACTATAGCTCGTGAAGAGCAGACTAAAGAAAAGCAAGCTGGTTTCACACCTGCACGTGGCTTCATAGACCACATTTTCACTCTGCGACAGGTCCTGGAACACAGACTCAAATTTAGACGTCCGTTTTGCTAACCAAAGGATGAGTGTACTGTGCAGCAGTTTGCTCCGTCCTCCACAAACACACATATAGGCGTCCTACAATAGTTGTTTTCCTTCTTCAAGTAGGGGTATACTTTTTACGTTAGTGAACCGAAAGAGATTCTCAAGAATCAGTGGACCAAGTTTTTTTGTTAATTGATCCTCACTCGCAAGGATTTTCGAGAACTTTAATGTATGAAAATGTTTCCGGTGTGTGTATGGAACATACTCTCAAATATGTTACCGCGTTATTATCCAATCATCATTTGAGTTTAGATTTTTTGGCCCCA